TGTATTACAGGGAAAGTGTGATGTAATGCTAAGGTGTTCAGATACTGTGCTGGATGGCCACATTAGGCTCGAGAAAGCTGCTCGCTTGGCCGAAAATTTATTGAAAATTGACATGTAGGTTTTCGGTTCATGGTTTTGACCAATCAGAATTGAGAATTCTCAACAGTGCGTGTGGTATAAGGAACTCATCTTGGAGGAATTTGTGTTTCAAACACTTCAGTTGGTTTATAATCTTCATTTTCTCTCTACTTGTTGCTATGATCTCAGAATCCTGATCCTAATTTGCTCATAAACGGCTCAAATATAGGATTATCCCATTCATCGGACAAAAGGAGATCATCTTTGGTCTCTTATTTTCTGAACCCGTGTGTTTCTTTGATGACTTTAGGCGAACGTGTTGTCGCTTCACTGTGCGGTTCTGTTCACACATATGCACTCGCAATCATTTCACATTCATTGTACTACTAGAATCTGACTCGGTCTCAACCTGTTCACGTTCTTAACTGGATCTCGAGTCCGAGAATGTTAAGTGCAAAAGTTTACACACTTGAACGTCAAAGTGATCCATCATGAGTTTTCAACATGTTGCTAAAGTGTACTATAGACAAGCCATTGCACGCCATCTTTAGTGGTGGCTGTACGAGTTTAGTGCTCCAGATATTCGTATCTGTATTTAAACCCAAAGTGGGTGTGGCCTAAACCGTAAGGATGTGTTTTTGAATAGGAACCCTACCACTATGTGCCTACACTACATGAAAGTAAAAACCTCCCGATCATGTGACTTTGTTGTGTCCCGTGGGAACCTAGTCCTCATGCTCACCTCTAGTCTCAACCAGATGCCCTTTCTTATATAAATACATAAAAAAGGAAAGGAAAATAAATAATAATGAAATGATAAGTGTAAAAATGGCGCATCTTCCATTCATATCTGAATTTGTATCGGTTTTAATTATTTAATTAACTGCTTTTTCCGCGCAAGGGATTTCCATCCTTAATTCTTTCATACTTTCACCTCCTGACCAGCTGGACTCAAATCGCCGAGCGTCTTCTGTACGTGACGATGCTGTAAAATTCCACCGTTCTTGCTCTAGGCTTATGAGGAATGCCACAAGTAATGCTGTGAAATGAAATGGAACGCCTGCTGGTCTGATCAATCTTCCTTTCCCTTCATGAAGGTGTATTAAGATGACTGATAACACACATCAATTCATCTCTCCGTACTGCATAAGCCTGATGTATAGTGTGTGAATGGAAGGGCTGTGCAAGTAGAGTTGGTAGCAGTACAGAGAGACAGAGAGAGAGAGAGAGAGAGAGAGAGAGAGAGAGAGAGAGAGAAAGAAAGAAAGACACACACACAAGTGTGCATTCCTCTGCTGCAGCTGTCTCGGGCCTGAGCTAATGGGTTCACATCAGCATTAGTCAGATTAGATTGCAGCACATTCTGATGAGAATGTGGGAGTGTGTCCGTATGTGTGTTTGTCTCGCGACTAAACTTCGGGCAGCCGTGTACAGGTCGCAGAGGCAAAGCCATCTACAAGACGGCGTATTAGCAAAATGAATCAACTTGACGAATAAGCCAACTGTCCTTTCTAGTCACCTTGTTAACGGAGAATGTGTAATTAAGCTGCGTTCATTTGTCTTTGCATCGTTCCGGCTCGAGCTTACTTTACGTAGAAGTCCAGATGCCGTGGAAACTCCAGCTTTCCTGCCAGGATCTTCTGATAGATGCCAAAGGGATTGTCGTCAAAAAACGGCGGGTACCTGCAAACACATCAACACAGTGGCATAGGGTGATTAGTGTGGAGGAGAAGACCGTAGATTCTGAAATGGAGAACATTGACTCGACTGCTTAGAAACGAATGTAAAAAAAAAATATTTATATATAAAAATTATAATCTGTTTATTTTCCTACTGCAAAAGATTCTTGAGTCAAATTACCGTTTAAAAAAAAAAAAAAAAAGAGAAAAGAAAAGCCCAGTGATGAAGACTAACACCGAGCTCTCGGTCGTGTTGGCAGGACTACTGAATCCAGTAAATCTGTGCAAAGTGACGAGAAGTAACAAATGATGTGTCTCCGGTTGCTCAGTTACGTTAATGTCTCTTCCAATACTGAAAAATATTGGCGCCTCGATTCAGCGGACCTCTGAAGCCCAGCATGTCTGTCAATTCCTCATTTCACACTGAATCACACAATATACAAAACTTATTCCCTAAAATTCTCGCAAGAGAGATGCGCATGTGTGCGTTTCGTATACAGGAGTGTGAACATCTGCTTTCTGAGGGTTTCTCCAGGACTGACTGTAGATCAGTAGCATGCCAGCATTTACATTTACAACCAATCCTTCACCCCCCCCCCAACCCCCAGACAAATGACAATTTATTAACTGTCAAATTTAAACTCGATTTTGATTTACTTTGTTTCTGATATTTGATGGAACATTTCTTGTCTTACCCAATTCACCTTGCTCACGTTAGCAGTTAAGCCAAAAGAACTTCCTGTTCATTATATATGCTTATTAGATAAGGCAGGGTTTCTGAAATTTAGAGGGTCAAATATGAGAAGGGGTGGAACAGTTTCTGTCACTCAGTCCATACGGGATTTTGTGGAAATTTTTTTTTTTGCTGATTGCTGCAGCCAAAAATGCGTAATTTTGCCATGGCCTTTTAAAAAAATAAATAAATAAATTGCGAGGCAATTTGCGGGGGGTGGTGTTGGGCTTTTTTTTTTTGCGGAAAAGTACTTGAATTGGTGCAATTCAATTGCAATCTTTCACAGTGACGCTAGTCGGCAAGTGAGACCTTTTAGCTGTACTGATGTTCGACACATGAATCGGAGAGGGCTTTGGCTGAATGCGTGTTGAGATTTACATGTATTCATTTAGCAGATGCTTTCATACAAAGCGACTTACAAATGAGGAAATACAAGCAAAGTGATCCATCAAGCGGAGAACAATACAAGTAGTGTTACCATACAAGATCTTAACGGCGTTCTAGAAAAGAAAAGTGCCAGAGTAGGTGGTTTTTTTCCCCTTTCTTGTTTTAGGATAAAGTGGGCTTGGTGTTTTAGGGGTTAGTCAGGTGTTCACGGAAGAGGTGGGTCTTTAACAGTTTTTTGAAGAGAGTGACAGATTCTGTAGTCTGGATTGAGGCTGGAGGTTCATTCCACCACCGAGGGACAGTTAGTGTGAAGGTTCTGGAAAGCACTACGAAGCGTCGGTTGTTAATCGATCACAGATTGCGGGAGGGAATGCAAGCCTTCATGAGAGAGTTGAGGTAAGAGGGTGGTGTTCCAGACAAGGTCTTGTAGGTGAGGAAGTCAGAGGAGGGAGATGAAGAGGGGTGCGACATGGGTTCTCTTGGGCTGGTTGAAGACGAGGCGTGCTGCTGCATTCTGAATCACCTGAAGGGGTTTGATGGAGCTCGCTGGGAGGCCCGAGAGTAGTGTGTTGCAGTAGTCCAGTTTTGAGATAGGAGCCTGGACTAGTATCTGCATAGCCTGTTCGGTGAGAGAGGGTCTGAGTTTCTAGATGTTGTACAGAATGAACCTACAGGACTGTGCAGTTGATGTAATCACATAACATAAGTCTTGGCCCAAATCTGCGGCAGTTTTGAAAAAGTGCGAGCTCTTCCGAATATTGCGGAGTTTCCTTGATTTTGCGTTAATTTCTGCGATCGTAAAATCCTGGAGGGACTGGTTACGATTCTTAACATGAGTTCTGATTGAGTAGATCAGGTTTGTGACCTGGGACAATCACACAACTAACCTACGGGGTATTTACAGTGCCTTGCGAAAGTATTCAGCCCCCTTGAACTTTTCAACCTTTTGCTACATTTCAGGCTTCAAACAAAGATATAACATTTTAATTTTTTGTGAAGAATCACCAACAAGTGGGACACAATTGTGAAGTGGAACGAAATCTATCGGATTTTTGAAACTTTTTTAACTAATAAAAAAATGAAAAGTGGGGCATGCAAAATTATTCGGCCCCTTTACTTTCAGTGCAGCAAACTCACTCCAGAAGTTCAGCGAGGATCTCTGAATGATCCAATGTTGTCCTAAATGACTGATGGTGATAAATAGAATCCACCTGTGTGTAATCAAGTCACTGTATAAATGCACCTGCTCTGTGATAGTCTCAGGGTTCTGTTGAAAGCGCAGAGAGCATCATGAAGACCAAGGAACACACCAGGCAGGTCCGTAATACTGTTGTGGAGAAGTTTCAAGCCGGATTTGGATACAAAAAGATTTCCCAATGATTCACAAATAAACGTATCCAGGTGTTAGAATGGCCAAGTCAAAGTCCAGACCTGAATCCAATCGAGAATCTGTGGAAAGAGCTGAAAACTGCTGTTCACAAACGCTCTCCATCCAACCTCACTGAGCTCGAGCTGTTTTGCAAGGAAGAATGGGCAAGAATTTCAGTCTCTCGATGTGCAAAACTGATAGAGACATACCCAAAGCGACTTGCAGCTGTAATCGCAGCAAAAGGTGGCTCTACAAAGTATTAACGCAAGGGGGCTGAATAATTTTGCACGCCCCACTTTTCATTTTTTTATTAGTTAAAAAAAGTTTCAAAAATCTAATAGATTTCGTTCCACTTCACAATTGTGTCCCACTTGTTGGTGATTCTTCACAAAAAATTTAAATTTTATATCTTCATGTTTGAAGCCTGAAATGTGGCAAAAGGTTGAAAAGTTCAAGGGGGCCGAATACTTTCGCAAGGCACTGTATGAAAATATATGTAACAAGACAGGACAATATTAATACCGTGTCGAAATAAAGATACCTGGTCAGTTGGTAGAAATCAAAAGGCAAGAAATTGGTGTATTGCTAAACTGGATGGGTAATTTTTTCTTCCTTGTTCTCCCAGTTGCTACATTTGTGGCTTTAAAAATAAATCCACCTGCACTTACGGGGACAAAATCTGCCAGCACTGTAGTATTCTCAAACCTACTTCGGTCCACAGGACACACAATATTTTTTCTGGTTTTCATATGAAGGCTGGGGGCTTAGCGGTTAGCACGTTTGCCTCACGCCTCCAAGGTTGGGGGTTCGATTCCCGCCTCCGCCCTGTGTGTGCCGCGCTCGCATGTTCTCACTGCGATTCGGGGGTTACCTCTAGGTACCCCAGTTTCCTCCCCCAGTTCAAAGACGTGCTTTGTAGGCTGATTATCATTTCCAAATTGTACATAGTGTGAGAATGAGTGTGTGTGAGTCAGAACGCCCTAAAATGGGTTGGCACCCTGTCCAGGGTGTCCCTGCCTGGAACCCAATGTGTTCCCAGAGTTTTCCTGAGATAGGCTCCAGGCTCCCCGCAGCCATTTGTAGGATATGTGGTACAGAAAACGGATGGGTGGATGGATATGAAGGCTTAAAGGGCCGGACATATTTCCCAACCTATTGTACATGATTAAATGCCACCAACTTATAATTAAAATAATAATTTTTTAAATCAACAGAATTATTTCATCACCAACAAATAAGGACAGCCAACTCTACATCAGCTGGCTGGAGGAATGTTGACAGAATATTGTCTTTAATATCATAATACTGTCTAACAAAACTAAATACCATACTTGCTAAATGTATTGTTCGATTAAGATCAGCTCCACCAACAGTTTGGATTGGAAGGCAACAGTGCAGAAAAGACAAACTGGTTTCGGATCAGGGGTTTGTGAGGCCTTTGTGTGAAGTCATAGCTTAGTTACAGTAATGGAGTTAGCAGCGTCCGTCTGCCAACACAAAGCGGATATATAGCTAGGAGATGAAAATGGCGAGAAACAATGAGACTTATCAAGTCGTTTTAACCAGGAGCTAGTGACACAGTAGAAAGAAGTTAATTCATTTGGGTTATGCAACATGAACATTCTTTTTCTAAAACACAACAGTTGTTGGGGACTCAGAAAAAGCATGAGAAAAACAGAAAGAAAACCAAGCAGAGTGGGTGTGGATGGCAAAGTCCAGCTCTCGGTACTCCTCCATGCTTGGAATAGAAAAAACACCACACAGCAACATGTGGTGCTATTACACCTGCATAAGGGTATAATAAGCCTGAAGACGCATGGACTTAACGCATGTTGACAGTTGGCTCAGGCAAGAGCAGCAGGTGGAAGCACTTAATGTGAGTGCAGTAGACTCTAGTACAGCATCAAAGCAAACTTTTCTCACCAGAGCCGGTGTAAAACTACTCATTATTATGACTCCACTCCTGAAAGTCTGACCAGACTGAAATGAACACCAGTTGATGTTTTAGAGATCAAACTCTGGAGCTGAAGACACATTATTGGGACCCTGGAGCCAACTGGTGGAGGTTTCCAGAACACATCCTTAGTTTGGAAATCTCCATTTCCTCAAAGATCAAAAGAGGAAGCAATGTGATGGAAATGGGAGAGACTGACAGACAGACGCCACAACCGCTCCATGGGAACTGAAGGACACGGAGGTCATGTCTCCTTTATTAGGACCAAAAGGAACACAGAGGCCATGCATCCTTCTGGGACTGAAAGCCAGAGAGGTCACACCTCCATCACTGGGACTAAGACACTGAAGCCACACCTCTTCCACTGGGATCAAAAAGCCAACAGAGACCACACTCATTCACAGGGACTGAAAGTCACACAGAGACCACGCCTCCTTCAGTAGGACTGACAGACAGAGGCATACCTCCTCCACTGGTACTAAATGATAGAGCTTCCTTTACTAGGACTGACACAGAGGCCACACCTCTTCCCCTGGGACTGCCATCTAAAAGAGGTCACACCTTTACTGGAACCCAAAGGCACATAGGCCTCGCCTTCTCAACTGTAACTGTCAGGTACCAAGTCCATGCCTTCTTGACTGGGACCAAATCTGATCCCAATTTTTACTTGGCAAATGACGTTGTGCAAGAGTACAGGCATATTAAAAATATTGGCACCAGTGCCCCACTGCAAATGGGTGAATTTTTATACTCTCATTTAACTGTGCATTTACCAGATCCATGCTGACAACCAGGAAAACATCTGCATTCATGCAATGCTAAATGCACCAGGCAGGAAACTGCTCTTTCATGAAACACTTGCAACATTTCTGAAGAACCGTTATGAGGCCTTTGACAAAGCACACATGAGACAGAAGAGCTCTATAAGGCACTTAAACATGAATGAGTCTATAAGTGTGTGCAAGACTAGGAGGGAAATGGGGGGGAGCGAGCCAGCAAGTCTTCTAAAGGACTGGAAAAAAGGCCAAGGGCCAAGAGCGGGTCTCTGTCTCACAGGACTGAACACTTCTAAAGAGGCTGAGGAGTAAGACGGGCGGGTCTCACTTTTTCCACTACGCAGTAGTCTGGGAGAAGCTGTATAGCACATTTAGAACAGAAAAAGGTCAGATGGAGGAGCTGAAGTTACTGCAGCAAAAACATGCATAAACAATGTCAAATTCGGGTTCATCAGACAAATTAATCTGAGAATATAGTTTCTTAAATGTACTGCCACAATACGAACAGCTGGCAATATGAACATTATGGGCATTGCTAGTTAAAAAGCCTTCACCGGTGCTTTGAATAGTCAGTGATCGTGATCACTGAAGACCAAATGAATTTAGCATCTTTTCACATCATTCTTCACTTCAACGAACAAAGCTGAGCATTTTCTGAGCATGGTCATAAATCTTTGTTTTATTTATTTATTTATATATATATATTTTTGACACCTCACTTTTCTGAAACGACATTGTTGTTTTCACTAGAGTTGCTCTTCGGTTTTAACAGCTGTGAGTAATTAATGGACTTTCTGCAGTTTTTAAGAATATGAATTATTGTGCAAGCAGTAATGAGAACCTGTCGAGGTTATTATGATGCATGCAGGTTACTCCAGGACAGATAGCAATATCCTAGCCAAGACCAGTGCTGATTTGTTTTGCTTACTGAGTGATCAGATAAGCTATTCGGGATCCCAGAAACATTTGCAGGAACTCAAAATCAATTTTCACAGTAGAAAATATTTGAAGGAGCACAGGAACTTTAGATTGGTTTCCAGCACAAGATCTCAGGAATTTTCTGTGGGGATTTCCCTTGGAGAAGCCCATCCATCCATCCATTTCCTATACTGCTCATTTTACTTGGTCACGGGGAACCTGGAGCCTATCCCAGGGAGCATGGGGCACAAGGCAGGGTACAACCTGGACAGGGTGCCAATCCACCGCAGGGCAGAAATCATAAACATTTGTACACTATGGACATCCGGGACATGCCAATCAGCCTACCATGCATGTCTTTGGGGTAGGAAACCGGAGTATGGGGAGAACAGGCAAACTCCACACATGCACTTAGCAGGAATCGAACCCCCAACCCTGGAGGTGTGAGGCTAACCACTAAGCCACCATGCACCCCCCTTGGAGAAGCCTTTTCAGGATTACAGAAACTTTAATTGGAACTTGTTCCAGAATCTTTTAGTTGGATTTCTACTACAGGAACCTTTTGATGCTCTCAGGAACTTTAGGTGGATTTCTGCAATCAAGAATTATTATTTTTTTTAAATACCTATTTTAGGTGGGTTTCCCTTGCAGGAACCATTTTAGGATCTTTTCAGGTTGGTTTCCATCTTAGGAACCCATCAAGTATCTCAGAACCTTTAAGTGAGTTTAGGTGCGTTTTCAGCACTGGGACTTTTTCAGGATCTCCAGAACTCTCAGGATGGTTTTTCACCACAGAAACATTTTCAGGTTCTCAGCAACCTTTGCAGAAAATCCAGAACATTACGAACTTTACACGTTTAGTTCTTGGGGCGCAACTCTAAGGGGTCATTTCAGCTCCACATTCAGTTGAAGATGGCATCTTAGAGCAGTTTTACACAAAGACCCGAAAGATTAAAACACAGTGTTTAGCCTTCTGTAAAATCAGGTTGCAAGGTTGGGGGCGAGTGAGGAAAAACAAACATGGCAGACAGATTGGCAGAGAAATCTCCAAATGTCTGATCTACAGAACGCCAGACATTTCTGTTTAAACTGACAGGCCAAGGCTCAAGAACCAAGGCATACAACACCCGTAAAAATGTGTGTGATGGCTTTATACCACGGCAGGTCAAACCCAACCTACACTGATTGAAATACCTGACTCCAGTTAACCACTTTTCAGGAGGTCATTACGCTGGCGGTTCAGATGTGTTTTCCATTAATTCCCTTAACTGTTTAAACCATTTGTTATGAAACCATTTGTATGATATTGTTTGAACCATAATGCAGAGCTACCTTGGATTTAAACAAGCTGTGTACTGAGAATCATTTCAATTTGACGTTTGTTATGGAACAGCGGGGAACGTTAGACGGGACCATTTATATGTGGATGCTGGATGTATTATAGTTTCTGAACAAACTACTTTTGTGCCAAGGAAAGCACAGAGCTGTTGAGTTACTGTATGGCGGCCAGGTAATCCGTCTTCGTACGAGCGTAACAAGCAGGACAGGTTCTCAGACCAGAGGGAACAGTAGCGCTGCTGGGCTTCCCAGTTGGACAACCAGAAATGAAAAGCTTGTGCTGTGAAGCCATGTACAGAGGTCATGGGAGGGTGCTTACAGGGGTGTCTGGAGGTCAGGTTTGAAAAATAACAGCAACATCTACGACCAGATGCAGACTAATATTTCACCAAGCACTGAACAATCAGGGGATAATCTCTAATTATGATTTGTCTCACTAATATTGCGATTGCAATTCAAGTTGCTAGTATTGCACATAAATAAAACTCCAGGCCTGTACTGGTGGACTAGCCGATATTAAATATCGACCAGACATAACACAATTATCTTCATTAAAAAAAAAAAAAAAAAGAAATCAGATAAAATGGTTACTTTTTGAACTGTTTATCTAAACAATTGCTTTGCTGAGTATTAAACCTGGTGTCATGTCGAAGCAATAAAACCAACTTCCTTTTGATAAAAATCTTAATTAAAAAAAATAAATCTTGACCAGAGGAACTAAAATGTGGATTTGACACTGCAGTGGATTACACGCTTAAAAAAATAATATAAAATAAATAAATAAATAAATCCCTCTCTTCAAGGGTTCATAGCTTCCAAAAACGTTCTAGTTTTGAACCT